CATACATATACATATATGAGAAAATCCAACTGTCTACGAAATACGTCTTCTAGACACAGAACACCCGTCCTTCAGCAACTTCTAAAAATATAATTGCACTTTCGGGTCCTCACCTTGAGACAAGCACAGGCCAGAGCCACATAATTCGTATCAGCTGCGCCCCCGCTCATCGCGTTGTTGATCTCATCACTCATATCGGTATCTGTAACGTACAAGTATTGTGACATTGTTCATTTTCGTCAGGTTTCAATGTACAATGCACAAACAGGCCGGATCGCCAATCGAAGGCATTGTGTGTGTCTATTATGCGTCTGACACCCACACTATAACGCTCCACTCACTCACACTATATATCTCAAGCGATGCTTAATACAACATTGTGTGCAATGTTAGGGGGTCCAATAGCGATTGTTTCACGCCAAAACTCTGCCCGCCCACCTTGTCCAAGAGTCCTGCGCAACCAGTTATGGGTCAGTGCCGCAACCGTTGGTAGCACATCCCGCACGTTGACGTTCTGACTCAGAGTAAGGCAGAAGGCCCATAAAAGACCCCCCATCGCATCTCTTTGGGCTTCATTATCTGTAGATACAGAATTTTTATTATGAAATTAGTATAGAAACAAACATAAAACAAAGATATGAGAGGATGGTACTCGTCACACACACACGCATACATACACATATATCCAGGCACACGTACCTGGGCTACAGAGTGGGGCGTTTGCACACACAATAGCCACCGTCCTCCCCAGCGCACGACGTATCTGCTTCGAAGTACCGAACAGTACCACACTAGCCAAGCACAGCGCAGCCGCATCCAGGATATCTGTGATGGGTCCCGAGACCTGACCTTTTAGACTGAGACCTTCTGTGTAAGTAGGTATATCGCCCCGGGTCGTGGTGGGCGGCTGGATGTGTGCGAGCGCTTTGGCCAACCCCTGGGTAAGGAAAGATGAATATTGTAAAGGGTATGAATATGTGCCAAGTGTCTAGATATAATGACCTGTGTGTCCATTGATGCTCAACCGAGCTGTGAATGAGCTTCTGGGCGCAGAATTTAATCAGAAATATGTTGTCGTTGGTGTATATGTACACCTATGAGTTGGACACCTGATTAAAAACCACAACGTCTACAAATATGCGTAGTTTGTATGTGGATGGGCCTCTGGGTAAAGTTCTTTGTCCGTATCAATAAATACTTCAGAATATTTAATAGAGATAAGAATTTTCACACCACTCGTTCTAGTTAGTCCCCTGGAATAGTGTAGGTACACTGGTATACCGTCCAAGTACTCAATTGGCTGTCGTTTGCACATGCTTTAACACTTAACACATGTGAGAGTATAAGGTGGTGAAGGTATAATCGCGTATAGCGGACTGATTGATTGGAGGTGAACGAAATGGTAAAAAAGTATATACATTGAAAAAAAGCTATGTGTAGATATGCAGCAGAGCCAGGTCTAGGTATGCCACTATTTCAAATGGATTATACGACTGCGGCTGGTGCGTATTATATACAAAAAAGTGATTCAAAGGTTTAACAGAATTCCCAAGATGTGGTGCAAAAAAAGACAAGGAAAGGGAATACAATTTCAGGTCGGGACTATGTAGGAACGCTATACACTAGCTGGGTGTATTCAAGGATGTATATACATTTTCTGGGCGTATTTATGCAAAGATATACAATACTGGATGTATACAAGCATGTATATAGTGTACACAAGCATGTATATCGAATTGTTGGGTGCATACAACCATGTATATACATTTGCTGCGTATATATGTATGTCATACCATCAGCGATGTTAGCCATACGCCGCACTGGTCGACGTGATCGGCTCTGGTCCGTTCGTGGGCATTGTGATCGTTCGAGCTATCCGTCATGAAGCTCTCATCGTTCGGCGCTAATAATAAAAATAGAATACATTTGCCCTTATTTGTGTAGAACATATTTTCGAAAGCCC